GGGTGGGTAGTAGGGAAACCCATGATAAAACTAACCTAAAGCCTTAACCCAGAATCCTTAGCTGTTTGCCGACCGGTTTGTGCTTGTAGGCTGATGAGTTCGTGATTCCTTTGAGCCGCTGCTTGGTTCATATCATGGAGTTGTTCAGGGTTTAGGACTTCGGGGATAACATGTAAACATGGGGAATTCCATGGCTACAAGGCCCTTGCTATGGGCCCCCATGATTGCAACCCCCGCATTGTCACAAATAACGAAGGGCCTAATTTAGGGAAACCACCAAAGGAGCTATAGTCTAAACTCTTTCAAAAGAGTTATATAGGGGATTATATAGAATACTACTATAGGGGTAATTAGGGGGATACTAGGAGTGTAGACAACGGCTCATATTGTTTTGCTGGATTCTGACCCCGCCGCAGTGGGAGGCTGGGTACATGATTCAAAGACGGCGCCTCGATTCATCAAGTACAACTTGATGCGGGCCATGGCGCAGCAGGTCAGCCGAAAAATCTCTTTGCTTCAGCTTAGGGGTAACCCTGCCACTGAATAAGCTACACAAAATGTGAAGTTTAAATGAGCGCATTTCTACTTGGGGAAACGAGGGGGTTGGAGAGGTTCCACTGTTTGAATATTTTGGGGGCTGGGTAAGAATCTGAGTATTACGAGCTGGCAGTGCACCTCATGGAAACCCGCACTGCGCCAAGAGTAGCCTCGTTGTTCACAAGCCAATTCCGTTCCTTGACCCTTGCGGCCCCACATGAGCTATACTTTACACTCCTTCAAGGGGATTAAATATCGGGGAGCACTAACAGGCATACTAGGAATTTAGACTATAGCTCACACACTGAAGCGAACAAAATTTGATTCTCATGGCACTTGTTAGCAACCACTTGAACCCTAAACCCCTAAACCCTAACAACCAGCCAGTTGCAGGAAGAGCTGCTCAAGTATTCTCACCAACACTTTGCTGCCATTTCGGAGCACCTGCAGGTGGAGCTGCCGCTAAACGCGGGTTATATCGGGATTATTTTGGGGTTATATAGGGATTATATTGGGGTTACATTGGGGTTATATGGGGTTTAGGGTTTCAGGTTTGGGGACTAGGAGGTTGATTGTCAGTAGGGAGTTGCAAAGACAAAACGGTCTCCATAGATTCCTCCATTCCTTACATCTTGTGAATTTGGGGCTTAGATAAAAGGACCCGAAGTTCAGGGTTTAGGGGTCAGAACCTGGTAGAGGGGTTCAGGGTTTGGGGGCAAAATCTGCGGAAATTGGTGGACTTATTTTCAGCGACAGAGAAACCCACCCTAACACAACCCAGAACATTGATTGGCAGAGCGAGACTAGTGTTGACCCACAAAACCCTAAATAGTAGTTAGTAGTTTCCATTTCATTTTCCATTATCCCCATATAGCCCCAATATGACCCCTACAATCCTACTCAGGAAAAGGGTATGGGGTTACTGGGGAACCCTAAATCCTAAACCCGAAAGTGCAGGACATTTCGGTGGCTCTGGACCGGCACGGCAGCAGAACACACCGGCGCCCGTCACAGGGGTTGGTTTGAATGGATTTTTTGAATTTGTATTACGCTCTTTTCCTGCTTAGGCTATAGTCTACACATGTCTACACTCCTTAAAAGCGGTTATATAAGGCACTAGATAGAAATCCTATATAACCCTTATAAAGCCATGAAAAAGTAATTGTTATAGGGGCCCCAAACCTACCACAGGTCAGCGGACATGAAGCCAAAGCGCGGTTCGGCATCCAAGTCTCCCACCGACCTACGCTCAGTGTGCTCACCGATAGGCTTAGGGTCTCTAAGTTTGTGACAAGGATGCAATGCTGTGCATGTGAGCCACAATCTAAATTCTGCAAAGGAGGGGGGGTTATATAAGGGATACGTTTGGAGACGATTATAGGGGATGCTATTAGTTTAGATTCTAGTTCATATCTGTGCATTGAAAATGCGAGGCTCGTGGTCTAATGTTGTGGTAAGGATGCTGTATACAGGAAAGGTGGGGCCTGTGGAGCCTGATGATGGCATCTACAGAAAGCCAGGTGTGCATTGTACTCTAGGTGATTAAGAAACCCCAAGCCCTAAACCCTGCAGTCCCCCTGAAGTAGATAGAATATTGGGTATATGGGGCTTATTATCATATGCCCAAAGCCATATTCTATCTTCTTAAGGGGGACTATAACTACAAGCACAGGACCTGGCAGCTTGCAGCGTGTCATGCATCCAGAAATTACTAGATCACGTGCCAAGAACCTATCCCCTGACCCAATGAAAATTTCCAACCCTTAGCAGGGGTTCAGCACAATAAGTATGATAATATATTCGGCTTTATGTTGGAGCGCCCGATTCCTGGAAACACCCAAATTTTGGAGCTGAAAAACGCTTGCGCCCTTTCAAGGGTCAGAGTAGGTGATTGCGGGGGCGCCCTAAACCCTATAAACCCTAAACCCCTAAAACCTAAACCTGAACCGAGGAAAAGCGCGTCTCTTGGGAGTCAGAAGCAGCAGAGGCTTCAAAGAAAGAGCCTAAGGCAAGGTAAGCCCCGTGCGACATATCTGGGTTCCTCAACTTAGGGATCCCTTTCTGGATTTCTAGGATTTAGGGATTAGGGTTTAGGGTTTAGGGATGAGAGTTGAGGGTTTAGGGATTAGGGTTTAGGGATTAGGTTTTAGGGATTATAGGGCTTTGGGTTCAGGTTTAGGGTTGATAACCCTAAATTTCAGGAGCACCACCGCCATGCATTGCTTGCACCAGAATGCCGAATCTCATGTTCAAACTGCGTATGCCTGCCAAGAGGCTCACGACACCGTGCGGGTGGAACAGACGCATGTCGCGGCCATCAAGAGCCAGCTTGACAAATTTAAGACGGATGTGGAATTTTCACTACAGGCGGGCGGGACCCCCCTGTGTAGGGATATATAGGGGACATATAGGGATATTGGGTGCATCCTTGCTTGCTGGGCTGAGGAGTGTAAGCATAGCCGCAGGGACGCAGGATGAGAGAACCTCTGCAATTTTGTTGTCCGGGGGTGCGGGCCGCATGGTATTTGCTTGCCCTGTTGCAGGCAGCTGTAAGGGCACTGGATGAATGCATCCAGGAGGCATCCGTGAGCTTGCAATCGATGCCGCTCACTGTTGTCTCGGCTTCACATAGTCAAGACATTCCTCCCCGAGGGAGTTCGCCGAGGCTCATGGGTGCTGTTATCCCAGTAATCGAGAATGACATGGAAATGAAATAGAAGCTAGGAGAATACATCCTCCTGCGACTAATGCTCCAGTGCACAGTCACGGATTCATTGCGAAGTTGTGCTTCACTGCATGTTGCTCAGCCCTGCTGTGCCCCAGGCCTGCGGAAGCTGCGGGTACACCTTCGATTCTCTGTCCTGATCCTGACAGAGACGCTGGGCAAGCTAACGGAGTCCAGCCTGGCAAGCCTTCAAAGAACGCTGCCATAAGCCTTGATGAACTAGTCAGTAGCGGCATTGCGCCACATAGTATACGCACCATGGAAGTGTAAGCAAAGAGAAGCCTCTACGTCCCCTGGCAACACGCCGGCCCCCAGCGCTTGTGGAATTGTGACATCACTTGCACAGCGGCAGCCAGGGAATCGTGTGGCTTCAAAGTGTATTCAAGTTGCATTGGTCCGTCTCTGCAAGCCCTGGCAGGCAAGCAGCAGAACTTTTGGGATGCGCAGCTCTTCCAAAAGGACGCGCGCTATCCGCTATTCACAAAATGTCACAAAATGACATCACCTAGTATCCGGGCATGAAGAAAGCAATCCTACTTTTGGAAACTGCCAGTACACCCTATTATTGTTCCACATTACAAGTAGCAAAGCTGTTCGCAGAAGATGCCGGGCTTGATCTTTTTAAGCTATCAAGGGCCACTTTGGCCGGAGATGGATTTCCAGTGCGCTGTAGTCACCGTAGTCTTCCTTCTCCCTTCCACCAGAATGCTCCCATGAGAAAGTTCGAACTGAAACCAACAAGCTCTCGGGCACTAGCTGCACTTGCTTCAAGCTCCGCAGTCGTGGCCCCCGGCAGACACTATAGGCACTTTGTTTGAACTTTTTCAGTGATTGGGAGCCGAAGATGTGTTTCAAGCGGCAGTGTTTGCAACGCCTTTTGCAGATTCTTCGGATGTTCCGACATTCCCCCGCTGCTCGTTGGGGACTTGAATGGGATCGCTTGACCATCACTCAGGACCACGTTACCTCAAACTTGCAACAAACCAAAGCAGGAGGCAGAATAGTTGCTTTCTTCAGACGAGCAGTGGGATGTGCTTATGCAAAACTTTTCTGTGTGCGACCAGCACTCGCCTGACTGAAGACCAGAGACTTCCCGCAGGGCGTGTTTCAAAATGTACTTGGAGATTCATGGGTGGGTGCAGGCTTGGGGTTATGCATAAGATCATACATACTGATTCACTGTAAATTTTGCAATCTACATCAACCCCGCCCAGAGCTGCTCTTGAACTTCCAAGCAGTCATGGACCGACTGGAGACTTGGTGCAGTCAGGGGAGTTTTATACGGATGATTAAGGGGTATACCTGGAGTTTAGACCCTAGCTCATTTGGACACCTATGTATCCATGTATGCAGATCAATCCATTGCGCATGCATATCCAGATTTTTGGCAATAGTGGTGAGTTTGTACTGCATCTACAATGTAGATCGCAAACTACGCCCCTCAACCCTGAATCCTAAACATTTCTAAGCCCTAAACCCTAAACCCTAAATCCTAAACCCCTAAACCCTAAACCCTAAACCCTAAGCCCTGTCCTATCCCTCAACTTCCCTGACGCAGTTTGAGGCATAGAGGAGCCTGGGGCCTCAAGCGGCTTCATGGAGATTTTAAAGCAAACTTCTGGAGCCCTTTTAGGGTTTAGGGTCCCATTGGGGTAATATTAGGGTCATATTGGGATAATGGAAAAGAAAATGGAAGCTACCATATTATATTGGGGTTATATATAGGAATGATTTGAGCTATAGTCTAAACTCCTAAAAGGGGGGGTTATATAGGGGATTATATAGGGTCTAGGATTTAGGGTTTAGGGTTTCGGGTTTAGGGTCCAAACTCCTGAAAGGGGGTTATATAGGGGGTTATTTAGGGGACTATTATAGGGCTTATTAAGGGGGATACTAGGAGTTTAGACTCCAGCTCATATGAGGATTCGATCCGGTTTATCAGCGTTTTAGGGTTTAGGGTTATTAGGGTCTAGGAGTTTATGGTTAATATAGGGTAATACCCCAATGATGGAGAATCAAATGGAAAAGAAAATGGATAATGACATGGAAGCTGGGATTATATAGGGTTTAGGGTTTAGGGTCTAAACTAGCAGCCATATGAGGATAATATGTATCTATATATATATATATACATACACACGCACGGTTTTGGGTTTTTAGTTTTGGGTTTAGCGATAGTTTTAGGTTAGGGTTATTAGGGTTTAGGGTTTGTAGGGTTGAAGGTCTAAACTCCTCAAGGGGGATTAGATAGGGGATTGAACCTCAACTACTATAGTGCTTAAAGGAGTTTAGTTTACACTATGTGTCATGAAGGAATCCCCAAACTCTAGATCCGTAAGGAAGTTCCTACTACAGAAACCATAATTTGGTCCCTCAACCCTAAACCCTCAACCCTAAACCCCTAAACCCTAAACCTTTAAACCCTAAACCCCAAACCCTAAACCCTAAATCCTAAACCTTTTCTTTGGTACCCTGTGGGTACGTGTGGATCCTTTGGGTCTACCAAGGGGCGACGGGCCGGAACCTTCGCTTCGGCCCAGGGCTTCGGGCTTGAATTTATTAGTATATAGGGATTTCCTAAAATTAGGGGTACCTTTTGGGGGGTCCCTAATAAGTATGAAAGTATTTGGGGGCCTATATTGGGGTCCCCTTACCTAGGGAAACTACCATATATTATCATTATCATTACTATGAGTATCTTATTATCATTGTGTTCATTTTCATTATCATTGTTATTATTATCTTAAACTATTACGACTGGCTTTTCTTATCATCATTAGTATTAAAAACTTCTATTCTTGTTAATATTATGATGGTTATTGTTATTATTTGTATTATTGCTTTTATTATGTAGTAGTTAGGATGTAGGATTTAGGGTCTAGGGTCTAGGGTTGTTATTACTTAGTAGTATTATGATTGTTATTGCCATTGGTACCATTTATTTGTTATCGGCACTGTTGTTATGAGGACCCTGGGGTATAAAACCCTTTATGAAATCCCATCCCATAGCTCTCCACTTGAACATTCTGCGGTTTGAGGTTTAGGGTTCGGGGAACATTCGCGTAAGTGACCTCTAAACCCCTAAACTTTAAGCCCTACACCCGCAAACCCTAAATGGTCCAAACTCCATACCGAAAGAGCCAATAATTCTAAGAAGGCCATTGCTCTACATACTTCGGGGGCCCAGGTGCGGACCCTAAAGGCTCCGAATAGCCCCAAAAGATTTTATGATATGGGGGGGTTCCCAAAATTAGGGAACATGTTGAGTTATAGATTGTATTACAGCACCTTATATTTAGGGGTACCAAAATGGGACCATAATCTTGGGAACTACCCATATAAATTTCATAGCCTTTAGGGGGCAGAATGTGGTATGTGTTACAGACTAGTAGCTTCTGGTTCCACGGTTTTAGGGGTTTGGGGTCTGGGGTCTAGAGTTGGGGTTTAGTTGGGGTTTGAAATTAAAGTATGATTCCAGCTTCCATCTCATGACCCATTTCATTCCACCCTAAACCCTAAACCCTAAACTCACCAGGGGTCTGGCTTGTGGGGTCCCACTTTTTGGATGCTCAAGTGCTACAGGGTTAGGGTTTAGGGTTCTGTATAAAGCCAAAATCCCAAACATCCTTAGATGGTCCACTTAAAAGATCCTTTGCGTAAGCTATCTGGGGAGGTTCGTGCCAGGAAGCCGGCCGTTTATCCTTGGGAACAAACCAACCGCAGAAGCACGGCGAAAAGGCGTAGATGTGGGTTTGGGGTTAGGGCTTAGGGGGCCCCCAGAATAAGGAGTGTAGTATGTTAGGGTCTATGTTGGGGTCTGCTTACTTTGGGAAAGCCTCACACCTTAGCTCCAGGTGTTTAGGTAGGGATTTGGATGTAGGGCTTAGGGTTTAGGTTTAGAATGATTGAGCTACCAGAATGGAGTATAAAATGCAAAGACCATGGAAAATGAAATTGTAAGTGGGGTTGCTTAGGGGTTTGAGGCTTGAGGAATAGGAATAATTTGGGCAAGTGATAACGACGTTACCCAACCCACCTTCGTTGTGGTTTTCATGCAAATCAGCCCCAATTTGGCTTAGGCTCAGGTTCTAAAGTTACTACAGAATAGCGAATGAAATGGTATGCTACAGTGACATTCATATAAGGCGGTCCCTGTGTGGGCCGCACTTTTCTGCATGCTTTTTCTCTGGAGTGTATGTGGGAGGGCTAGAGAAGAGAACGTAGCTGGCAATAAAGCAAGTAGCCCGTTTGTACGAGGATGTTGGGATTTACTATGCTCGTATGATAGTCAGAGGGTTCTTGCTATAGGTGCTGGGGCTACCTAACCCCTAAACCCTCATAACCCTAAACCCTAAAAACCCTAAACCGGCTCTGGCGACCCAAGCCTGCAACGCAAGGTTTCCTCGCCCAAGCAACATGGAACCCGCTCCCCTCATCCCGTACACTCAAACAGGATGATACATGGGCTTAGGCCTCAGGGTTTAGATAATGTGCCGATAAGGAGCCAGGCCGGATCATAGTCTTTCTAAGACCCCTTTTCGGGAGTTCCATGTTAGTTTGGGCAAATGCCAGGCTTGAAGCAGCTGGTCTTGTCTGGCCGGATCCCTGATGTAGAAAAACTGCCTTGTTGATCATCTTTATGGATTTTGGGGCATGTGTTGTCCTACCCCCTAAACCCTTCACTCTTTGACAGTGAACTTCTTCGGACCATGGATTGGAAACCCGTGCACCCTAAGACAAGTCAGGGAGAGGGTTTTGCAAACCCCAACCCACACACACCGGAAAAAAAAAAGGAAAAGAGTAAGACAGAAGAGGCCAACGATAGTCACAAGGTTCTGAGTATTCGATGGCGCG